ATTCCCTGCCCCTACTAATCTCCCTTCTGCGTTATACACGGGGAGAGAGAGGGAAGGATCAACAAAGGGGAAAAGCAAGGGTGCAGCAGACACCTGCAATAATCCAGGAACCATGGGGTTTCTTTTTTGCTTACCGTGGTTCCTAGGGTAGTCCTCCTGGCCTCCCACGCCGTTCTGAGACGAGGAGCCAGCAAGGAGCGTCCGACCTCGATCGGAGTCAAAGCGCCCCGGTGCGCTTCGGGAGAGAGCAGAGCTAACTTGCCAGGACTCCTCAGCGCGGCGTTGTGGGACTCGTCTGGTCTGTCGTTCCCCAGGGGTTACCCAGGTCTACGGCCCAACGAAGGAACAAAAGCTCTTCCGCGTTTGGGAATGGAGGGAACAACCGGGATGTCAGCAAACAGGGAAGCTGAAAAGCTACCTGATGCTGTCCTCCTCCACAATATCCGTGCTTCTTCTTATCTTCTCTTCAATTTTCTTTCCAATTCGAGTGCTCTGAGAGAGCACAGTCCACCACAACCTGCTCTGAAGGCAGGGCCAGAGAGACTGGGAATCTGAGGGACAAGCCCCTCCCTCTCCGTGCCTCAAGAGTCTGCCGGCCCTGCCTTTGGAGGAGGGAGGAGCTAACCCAGGAGTTTGGAGTCCAAAGGACTGCTCCACTCCTGGACCACCGGAGAAGAGGGTTTTAGCTTGACCTGTTTTACCAACAATGACTCCCTCTGCCAGACCGGGAATGACTTGTCCTACTACCCTGCGAAGGGCACTCCACAAGGTGAGAATATAACACACATTGTTACTCTACCACTGCAATACAATAAGAATAGTGGGGTTTACGCAAAAGATTTAGCTCCAGCATCTAAAAAATGAAAGGGCCATGTTTACATTAAGAAAGAGAAGCCAGTGTCGAACATTGCGAGATGAACCACCAGCAAAAAGAGTGGTTGCTGTCAATTCTGTACCACTGCCATAGGTAGAGGTGTTCCTGCCTCCCACGGGGGCCAGGTGGTCACCCAGTCTGTGGTACATCTGACTGCGTTCTAGACCAGCCCAGATGCCCCTCCAACTTGACTGACAGTTCTCCTGTGGCCCTATCACCCCCTTCGGTATGCAGGATATCTTCTGCACAGCCCTCCCTCCACTACTTACACTACTTCTGAATGGTCCTTGGGGTACAAAGTCTGCTTCGCGACTGGCTGCTCTAGGCAATGTGTGACTGACTGTCAATAGGAGGACATGATTCCTCATTAAGGTTTAAAATATGACGGGAAAGCAAGGCTATCCTCTTTGAGATATTGAATTTTTTTCAATGTTTATCTGGCAGGCAGTGTTCCCTCTAAGCTGAGTTAGTGTGAGCTAGTTCACGTTTTTTTTAGCCTCCGGCTCACACATTTTTGTTTTAGCTCAGGAGGGATGGCTTCAGAGCAAGCTAATTTATGCAGTAGCCAAATCACTCGCTGACAACTTCAATGCTGGTAGCTCACAAAGTAGGATTTTTGCTCACAAGACTCCACAGCTTAGAGGGGGCTTTGCTGGCAGGCCCTCGATGGCTTGTGGCTAATGGACCTCTGCTCTATATGATTATCGAATGCCCTCTTGAAGCTGTCTATGCTTATAGCCGCCACCACTTCCTCTGGCAGTGAATTTCACATATTAGTTACTCTTTGGGAGAAGGACTTCCTTTCGTCTGTTCTTAACCTACTGCTCATTAATTTCATTGAGTGTCCACAAGTTCTTGTACTGTGAGAAAGGAAGGAAAGTGCTTCTTTCTCTACTTTCTCTATCCCATGCACAATTTTGTAAGCCTCTTGTCACTCCTCAAACATCTTTTCTCCAGGCTAAAGAGCCCTAATCTCTTTAATTTTTATTCATAGGGAAGGTGTTCCATTCCCTCAATCATTTTAGTTGCCCTTTCTGGCACTTTTCCCAGTGCTATAATGTCTTTTTTGAGGTAGGGTGACTGGAACTGCCTCTACTTTCTCTATCCCATGCACTATTTTGTAAGCCTCTTGTCACCCCTCAAACGTCCTCTCTCCAGGCTTAAGAGCCCTAATCTCTTTAATTTTTATTCATAGGGAAGGTGTTCCATTCCCTCAATCATTTTAGTTGCCCTTTCTGGCACTTTTCCCAGTGCTATAATGTCTTTTTTGAGGTAGGGTGACTGGAACTGTATACAGTATTGCAAATGAGGCCACACGATAGATTTTGTCTTCAGCGACTTGTATTTTATTTGTCCAAGCCTGTGCTTCCTTTTATTTACCTCACTTGGACTAGCCTTCCAAAACTTAAAGGAATCCTTCTTACCTTTTATTACTTCTATTGCTTCATTTGTTAACCAGGCAGGCCTTTTTTAATACCTAATGGAACCTTTCCTAACCTGTGGTATACATTTTATCTGAGCTTCCAGGACTATAGTTTTAAACAGTCTCCAAGCTTCTTGTTGCGGAATTCTGGGATTCTTTCTTTATGTTTATCTTCATTGTTCCTGGGGCTTGAAAGTATTAGTTGACATTTTATTATTGTTGAATATTTGTAAAAATGGTCTGAGCATTTCTTTAAATCAGCACAAGAGCCGATTGAAGGATAGCATCTGTTTTGTAAAATTCTTTATGATTTCAGAAATAAGAATTGTTGGGGGAAATTACTTAAGCTAAAATACCGTCGTTATTACTGTCAATATGCACGGGTATTTTTATAAGGATAACAATAAGTGAATGATCATTGAATGGAAAAAGAAAGCAATTCCCAAGTGATTTGCTGCGAAGCCTGGAATCAAAAGGTAGATTCCCTAATCCTGTGTCATCTGAACACACTGGGATTCATTCCCATAATAACTGGTAAATTTTGCTTTGTATTTTACTGCAGCATCTATTTATTTATTTATTTGTTGGATTTCTTCCAAAGGCTCAGGGCAGTTCACAGGCGGCAAAGCCGGAAGTACTTCTTCACCCAAAGAGTGATTAACACTTGTAATTCACTGCCACAGGAAGTGGTGACGGCTACAAGCATGGACGGCTTCAAAAGGGAATTAGATAAGCATATGGAGCAGAGGTCCATCAGTGGCTATTAGCCACAAGGTATAGATAGGGACTCTGGGGCAAGTGGTTCTCTGTCATCTTGGTGCTTGGGGGGGTCAACAGTGGGAGGGCTTCTAATGTCCTGGCCCCACTGGTGGACCTCCTGATGGCACCTGGTGTTTTTGGCCACTGTGTGATACAGAGTGTTGGATTGGATGGGCCTTTGGCCTGATCCAACATTGGCATCTCTTATGTTCTTATGTTCTTAATCTAAAATACAATAAAACATACAATAAAATACAATATTACAAATATACAATGGGTTGTTGGGCTGGGCTTTTGTATCACGGCCCACTCCAGCTCCCCTACCCATGTATCATTCACCGTGCAGTAAATGTACCAAATTTTGCGAATGGGGCAGAGGACTGAGCCCCAAAGGGGGGAAACTGTCATGGAATTAGGGCCCGGATTGAGCCTCAGTCCTCTGTTAAACAGATGTGACTTGAATTTCTATAGTTGAATCTTTGGTTCTGTTTCCTAGGAGGCTTCAGGACTCTGCTGGTCCTCTGGTACCGATAACTCTGTACATGTTTTTTGCCTTAGAGGATGTTTATACATTCCAGGAGTTAGTGGTGTCACTATCAGAATCAAAATAGATACAGGCCCCGGTCACACGGGCCAGATAACGTGGGGGTGAGGCGTGGCTATTTGCCCCAGGGCAAAATAAAGTGTGTTTGCTCGATCACACGGTCTCCCGAGTCTTTGCGCTGTGGCAGGAAGCTCGCAATCACATGGCGATGCTGGAGCTGGCAAAGAAGCCGCGCGGAAAGCATTCCGTGTTTGTGTGCATGCGCAGTTCTGCGGAGCAGCACTGCTTCCAGTTTAGTGTTCATGCGCATGCACGTAGGGAAACCAAGAGGTTTGTGACGGGCGCCGGAAGCCACGGGATACTAGCGCTCCCACGATCAGACGCCCGCCCTTGCCTCGCGTTTCCCAGATACTACTGCACTTTCCTAGGTAATTTTTTACCGCACATCTGCGGCGGGATGCCACGGATTGCCCACGGATGTGCTACGCTTCCCAGATGTT